TAACGGAATACAATACAGTGGTACCACTGCCCCAAGTGAAGGCAGCAAACACAAAGGTATCTTTATCCCATCAAGATTCTGAAATTGGACAAATGATGTGAGCAAAATTTTGTTAATGGTCTGTAACACAGTAACATTACATCAGAGTAACCTGATCCTACAACAAATCACTCCAAAAAGACCATCGAACCAGGAAAAAGAAGGGTATCGAATGTTTTCACCAAGCAGTTATCAAAACAACCCATTTCCCCAAACCTATGAAGCTGCAGTTCATCTACTGAACATCTTTGGAAACAGAAGTAACTAGAACTAATAGTACTCAAGAATGCGTACAGCATAATTATAAAAACATGTTCAGCACAACGTCACCATTTTATAAGTAACTGCTACAGGTTCTAATACAGAATTAGTCCACTTGCAGGAAAAATGATGTAAATTTTCAACTGTGCTAGTGATGTTAACTTCTTCAAATGGAAGGGAAAAAAAGGTCCATCATGTAATATCCTGGCCAACAGTTGTTTAATGAGAAAGTAACAACAAAACCAGCATACAGTTTCTCTGTTTACAGCTTTTCCTGTAAGTTCTTAAAACTTAACTAAAGCTCAGCAAAAGGGGTTGTGTGTGCATACGTACAAAAGTCACATAAATGGGACAGGATTCACTGGCACAAATACTGCTACTTTTGGTTTCCTGCATTACATCTTCTGTCTGAACATGCTCTGTTGTTAACTGGAAGTGCTTGTTGTTTCTTTACTATTGAATTTAGATTCCCCAGAAGAGAGAAAAGGTTTGTTTCTTCTCCAAGCAGTGACATTGAATGCAATGTTTTATTTTTAATCATCTTCATAATATTTGACTCAAATACTTTGTTATTTTCAGATTCATGATGAAAATTTCAGGGGTTAGCACTTAAAAATACATAGGCATTACAATGCAATAAGTGAAATTAAGTTAATTTAAAGTAAGTGAAAAAACAGAGGGTGCATAACAATATCACTCCTTTAGTGTTTGCTGCATTACATTGTAACTTCAGAAATTTTTAAAAAAATGTTATGCAACTTAGTGCTTATCACAGTTGCTAAATGTCAGTAACAAATACGTTAAGTCTTTCTGTACAACAAGCATTTAGGCAAACGTCCAGACTGGACTAATAAACTATGAAGAAATATTTTAAAGTTCCAGTTATTTGTTACTTGTTAATCCTACTGAAGGCAGACATTAAACCTGCACAGCTAAATCTAACAGCACAAAGATAAGTTTATTCAGCACATTGAGTGTGATCTAAGCAACTTCTGAACACAACATTAAGAAACTGCAACAGTTCAACAATCCTAAATTAAATTGTCGGAAATGCTGTGGGGTTTTAACCTGAGATTTAATATTCTAAAATATCAGTAGAAGAATAAAACCAGGTATAAACTCCTCATTAGAATGAAATCCCCCATGGAAGGGCAGGAGGGCTAGACTTCATGAATCCATAGTTTTGAAAGAGAGAAAGGGAAAAAACAAAACCAAACAAACACCCCACCCACCCCAAATCCCCCCAAACCCTATAGCAGTTCCTACTTGATTACTTTTGGTAATTCAGCAGGTGAAATGAGACAGAGGAACCTGTTAGAACAATGCAGGAATCAACTAATTGTTGAAGCTGGTGCAGATTTTCTTAACAGAATCCCTCCTTACTGTGGAAGGCAGTATAAGAAAACTAAGACAAATGTCCCGATTCCTAAACTACATACAGACTAACTGTTTTTGTTGAAAGTCTCTGCAAACACATGAAGAACTCTGCTGCCAATAAAGAAGAAACAAGCAATAGCAACACCTTGACAGGTGGAAAGCAGAACATTAAAGGTCTTGCAGAAGAACCAGGAGACCCTGAATGCTGAAACAAAACAAAAAACCAAACCAAACAAAAAAAAAGAAACCAAACCAAAAACACCCCCCCCCTCCCCAAATGAAGGAAAGCAGAGACCTTCATTCTGTATCTGGCAATATTTCCTTAATTTTTTATTATCCTTTTGAGAACACTATTACAAATAAAAGCTATTGAGCTCCACAGCTAACATAAATGAACTGTACATAAATATTGATAGTGTGATCACCTTTTAGATCTATCTAGAAACATTTTTTATTACAGTGTTTTTAAATCAGTGAAAAAACTAAATAGCATTATACACTGGATCACATGCTGCTGTAACACAAATTGCAATTATCATATTTTTTCAACCTCTCCTTTTCCCCTCTATTATTCCTTTCCATTGTTCCACATAATTTCTATTGCTCCAACTATTTCCTCTTGCATTCTCACCCTCTGCCCCTGTAGTATTCCAGGACATTGCAAGGTGCTGCCCAAACTTGTTGAACAGTTTGTGTTAGTCCCCAGTACCACCTATAAACACTTCAGCTTCCAAAGGTGTGTGCAGTTTAGGAACAGGGGAAATGAACATCTGTAGAGTAAATGCATGTGTAACAGATATATTGTATCTGTGATACACTATTTGAGCATAAACCCTTACTCTTTATTTATCACCAAAGTTTAAAGAGAAAATTACAAAGCATAAAAAAATTTATCATCATCTGTGTTGAAGACTCTTGTTTGTAGTATGTTTTCCAGCTTCTCATATATTTGAACCTTAGAAACAAGGGCCTTCAAGCATTTCCCTGGGAGATTACAATCTCCTCAAACACAACCTCATAAACTAAAAAACCCCTAAGCTTCTAAATTATCTTTCAATTACAAGAAAAAAAAAATTATGATCTTCACATATATTCTAAACCTTCTATAGTCCAATTTTATCTAGAATTTGTGCATACACTTTGATAGAAAAAAGCCTACATACTTGGAACTATGTCTTTTTTGTTTCACGAGGTTTATTAAGATAGTTTATATATTCAGTAGGAGCCTCTTCAGGCAGGCTGACTAAATGCCTGGTTTTATGGTTATATGGTAACCTGGTAAATGCAAGGTTTTATGGATATATTAAATACCTTTCATCTAGTTACTAAATCTAAGTCATCTGAGGGTAATTCTGAATGTGTTGGAAATTAATGAAACATAGTTCAATACATCTAAGTGTTAAATCTACTAAGTACTTACTCATGTTTTGTGCTATGGTAAAGCCAAGGTACAGAACAAGAAACTGCCTTTCCTTTTAGATTAGCAGATCACCCACAGAAGCTTCAAATCTCAGCAGACTAAGAGATGTCAACAGGGCCCCTGGCTCCAGAGGGGACATTTCTGAGTGGGACAGAGCACTGGATGTCTTTGTTGGTTTTGGTTTCAAAATAAAAGATTTAGGGAAACACCTGCTGCATTTTTCCAGTTCCTCGCCAGACTACTTCCTGTGCATATCAACTAGGAAGCATACTTCCATATGATCAAACACCAGACCAGAGATGAAGCTAAATGGAAATGTTGTTAAGTGTTGTCAAGCTGTATGTTTTCTTTGACCTGTATACATAGTTCGGATCAGTTTGCAATACGTTATTTGAATAAAAACTGAGTGCTGTTTGTACAAAAAACTAGGTTTTTTCCTTGCTTTCTCAGCTCTACTCCTTTTATTTTTGGCATTATGAAGAATCACAGATAAACTTAACTTTTGCTTTGTTAAGTATATAGGCTTTGCTATTTGGCTGCAAAGCAGTGTGAGGATAAGATTAATCCTATTACCCATGCGCAGACTGAACAACAATCTAACAAGAGGACACGATGAACAGATCACTGTATGTATTTCTACTCTGTTATGGGGTGTGGGTGGGCAACACACACGACATGAGGACGGGACATGGGGGACAGCTTTAGTGATATGACTGCACAAAGTTACAGTGTTGTACAGTACAAGCCCACAAACTCCTGTGAAATTTCTAATTATATGCTTCACTCTTCTCTTTTTGGTTAGCGTTTCAAAACATACAATAATACACAGTATGCTTATTTTCATGAGGCTCTGAACAGGAGTGAGTTTAGTGCGTGTTGCTGCTGAATTGTGTAAGAGTTAACAAATTTTTTAATTTTCTCCTGAATTTTATGCCCTAATTTACATGAACTAATGATTTTCTCTCTTACTTTCTGAACATTTACTCATAAATTCCCTAAGCACTACTACAAATCATGTATGCTTTGACAGATGAAGATTTTGGCATGTCATTTTCCTGTAACCCAACATACAGTATTTTACATCAACTGCAATTTGGTCCTAACTTTGTTTTCATTATTGTCTTTCTCATACAGCATATGGTGCTGAAAGCTTTCTCCAAGATGCTGGATTTTCTTATTATCATAGTGACACATTTAGAAACAAGTTAACATAAAAATATTTCAGCACAGATAATTTAGGATTGGTTTCGTTTTATCCAGTCTGTTCCAAAATTACTTTAACCACAAGTATTTAAAGCTGTGTGGAAAAAAAGCCCAACATTACCACAAAAACTTTTATCAGAAGATACATGACCATTGATATCTATTTTCAGAGTAGCTTTTCAAAATAGCCTGTGACTTTTTATGAAAGAACTGCAAACACTGCAGTATCACATTGTATTTTAAAAATGCACACGAATATCTATACTAATAAAGCCAAACATCATAAAGCTTCCCAAGACCACTATTAATCAGAGTTAGCAAAACAGGACAATCAAGGAACAGTATAGTCCTCTAGACCCACTGAGACACACCTTATCCTAACAGGTGACCATTAGAATCCATCTCAGCCATGAAAATAGCTATGTTATTGTAGCCTGATGACTACTTGGTCACCTGTAGCCTGATGACTACTTGGTCACCTGTAGCCTGATGACTACTTGGTCACCTGTAGCCTGATGACTACTTGGTCACCTGTAGCCTGATGACTACTTGGTCACCTGTATGTGGGGAGTTTTCTGACCACTGCCTAACTGCTTGAAATGATCTACTGCATTGTTATTGTCAAGCTGAGTAAAAAATGATGGACTGCTGCAATGAATCCCTTCAGTACTGTGTTGCACCTAATGCTCACACAGCTCACTGTCTTCTCCTCCATGTTACTGCCTCTCACATCAGCATCACAAATTCCAGAGCCCAGATTAAAAACACCCTGCTTCTGATTTCTATGGGGCTCTTCACTTCTCACTGAAAGACGACAGCCTGGTGTCTGAAGGCTTATTTGAATCTAAAACACAAAGCCAACAGAGCTTATAGAAAGGCACATGGAGTTTGTGAACTAAGGAGGTAATTGATGAAGCATCCTTGGTGAAGCATCTTCTGCCTACTGCATTTACAGTAAGTAGTTGAGAAGCAGTTTCACTGATGCAGGCAATATTTTGGGCAGAGACAGTTGCACTGACTTGTTCTGTTGTAAAACCAATTGAATTAGTGGAACAATGAAAAGCCCCCCCCCCCAACCCCTGCATGAATGTATCTCACAATTTAAGTAACAATGCCCAGGCATTACAGTGAAAACCTGCTTGGTCCATAACATGGATCAACCTCTTCCATAACTCCCTGAAGCTGCTTGTTTTGCTTGTTTTCAAGGCTATTTCATGAATAACTCGAGCTCTAAGTGAAGTATTATTACTTTGCTTGTCTCCTCCTTTTGTATTTACAAAGATAACAAACATGACTCAAATGCATATTAAAACAGTAATGTTTTCCTGAGCTAATGGTCAGAAAGCAGAGTTGCTCCTGCTTCTGTTCATAGCTCTGTTAAACACCAACGGAAGGAATTAACAAGTTTATGATCAGCCTCACCATTATTTTTTTCAGCAGTAGTCATACAATTAAAATACTATGTTAATCATATTCTGCTGCTAATGCTTAAGGGAAGTTATAAAATGCAGAACTGTTCTTCTATACTTGAGTTCTTAAGGAGGAGGAAAACCTAAAACACAGCCTGAGACAGCCATAAAGGGACAGATACACACAGAGGCTTTCAGAAATAAAGGCTCCTTCTTCTCTTCCTACATTGAGCAGGACTGAAGAAGCCATCACCTTGTAATCAGAGCTTAATATAAAGGGGAGTTCCAGAAATTCCAGTCTAGCACCTTTAGGACATCTAACAAATTACTAAGAGAATATCACCTTTCCCTGTCCAGCAGCTATTCACTGGGTGTTGCTAAGAATTTAAACAGAAAAGTATTGCCCATTATAGATATGTGTTTGTGGGTTGTTTTTTTTTTTTTTTTTCTCTTATAATTATTTTGTTTCATTCTGGCTCATTAGGTTTAGTTTCCCTGCTAAGTGGAACAGGTGAGAAGAGTCTCCAAAGACTACAGTAAAAATGAGCTGGTAGGTGAATCACTGTGACGTAGAAGTTACATCAACCGCCAGAAAGTTCATGGCTTTGCCAGGTAACCAGCAAATCCCTCCCACTTACTTCAGCTACTGGCTGCACAGATTCACCATTTATTTTGAGCCTCACTAGCAATGACTGAAACAACAACAACAAAAAGATATCAACATATTGAAATTATACAATTTATTCATCATTATAAGATTTAATTCAATTAAGGTCTACAGTAAGCTTTCATTTCACAGTTAGGAGATGAAAAAGTAATGAATGAAACATTGAAAAAGAACACAATTAACTAGACAGTGATTCAAACTATGCATTAAGCGTTTGTTATTCCTAGTTTGCTTGCCATCAAGTAACCAAATCTAAACACAAGGATCTAAGTATTGTTCCTGAAGCAATGTGTTTCTAGGGCAGGATCACCATAAAGAGTTGCTGTCTATATAGGCTTAAAAAAAATTTTAAAAAAAAAAAAAAAATCCCATTAGTAAACATCTACCTTTTTTTTTTTTTTTTAACACCTTCATAGAAAGGGAAACAATATTTCAGCAGTTACATCCTTGGAATAGCACTAAAATTAATCAGTTCAGGCATCATTGGGATGCTAATTCCCCACCCCCACCCCAGGTAGCAGAAACAAGGAGAAAGAGGGAGTAAGGTAACACAACCATAAGGACCGTGCCATGGATTTATATGATAAAGGAGAAAAAAAAGCATTAAATATACTAAGTCAAACAAAAGCCACACAACATTCCACTGTCAAAGACAACAGTAACTGAACTTCAGTCAGTTACTACCGGTAATCTTTCTCTGGGTATTTGTTTCCCCCTTATTTTTCATGTCAATGAGCAAGATACTCAGTAATATTAACATTTCTTGTTCCTCTTGGGCTTAACAAAGAAAAGCCTCAGAAAACGAGGAAACTGTGTCTTACAAAAACTGTTCATGCATCTCATGAAATCACTTACTGAGGCACAGTCTGAAGCCTAATTTTAAGTGGCTCCTATATAATAAATGCTGACTATAAACATCTGCGTATCACAGATTAAGATTCAACCTTAACACGAAGCAGAGAAAAGATGCATTAGTTGCCTAAGAAGGCCTATGAGTCCCGTAATCTGGGAGAGGAAGACAATCAACTAGAGACCTACCTTTTAAACAATTATGCAACCTTCGTTCATGCTCACAAATTCTTACGTTAAAAATCTTGTATTACTTTGAGCAAGTGCTCATCCACATGATTAAAAGGACAACCATCGGACTCACCATAATTTGTGCCACGCCATAAGTCACAGAATCACAGAATGGTTTGGGTTGAAGGGATCTTAAAGATCACCTAGTTCCAACTCCCCTGCCACGGGCAGGTACACCTTCCACCAGACCAGGGCACTCCAAGCCCCATCCAACCTGGCCTTGAACACTGCCAGGGAGGGGGCAGCCATAGCTTCTCTGGGCAGCCTGGTCCAGTGTCTCACCACCCTCAGAGGAGGGAATTTCTTACTAATATGTAATCTAAATCTCCCCTCTTTCAGTTTGAAACTGTTACCTCTCATGCTATCACTACACTCCCTCATAATGAGTCCCTCCCTAGCTTTCCTGTAGGCTCCCGTTAAGGGAAGGCCACTATAAGATCTCCCCAGAGCCTTCTGAGAGAGTAGTCATCAATACAACCCCAGCTCTCTCAGCCTGTCCTCACAGGGGAGCTGCTCCAGACCCCTGATCATCTTCGTGGCCCTCGTCTGGACCGGCTCGACCAAGTCCATGTCTTTCTTATGTCCTTGGGGAAGAAATAGAAAAATAATTATGAGCCAGATCTATTTCAATTTATACTGCAAAGTCCAAAGACTTCTTCGAATACTTGTTTAGTGTCGTTTTTCAAAAGAAGTTTTTACATAAGTACTATTACTAGACTTGTACAGCATTCCTGGAAAGATGCTTTGTGTCAAGAGGGAAATGCCTGAGGAGTGAATAAATGGAAAGAGCACTTAAAATTTCAACTACATCTTCCATCTTTATTGCTTTGTTGAGGAAAATCAGTAGGAAAGCCTTTTACCATCTTTGTCTACTCTGACATACAGATATCTGAAATACAGATACTGCAGCTCTTGGATGAGTGGCTAAATACTACTTAACCACCAAGAATAACTCCTACAGCAGATAATCTATATGAAATCAGAGGCAAAAGGGTTTCCACGAGAGAAAGAGTTCTGGGGTAAACTACCCATTTCTATTAACTGCATGCAAATCCCATGGCAGCTGAACCACAGGCTGCTGGTCTGGGGTGGTAGTGGGGCGTTGGTTAAAAAGATCCATAAATGACAAGTAGGTAACTGCAGATTAAAGACAAACATGAGTGTTTCTTGAGTCAAGCTTTTTTCCTATCGGAAGCAGCTTAGACTCATTAATTACTTGTGCACCCCACTCTGTCAGTACATCCACCTTAGCTGACCTATGGATTACAGATGACGTTTGTGCGAATATACTAGCTGAAGTAATGGGAGTCACATACCCTATCAATACTTAACTACGTACCAACACTGACAAGACAGAGGGGGTTGAGCAAAACACTGGTTAGCTGAGTCAGACAGACTTTCTGAAGTGAGGCTGGCAATGCAATTAAAAAGAGGTATCTTCTGAGAAGTTTCATTGTGCTTTCACTGTCCACCTACCAGGCACAAATTAATTTCCGTCAACAGCATTCAATTAGAAGAGCTGCAAGATGAGAATAAGCTTTGCCTTCCTAATTGTTTCATCTGACTTCTATTCAGTTGCAAAAACCTATCCTTCTGTTTTCATTTAACTGAAACCATGATAGTGGAAGGTTAAAAAGTAAGTACATTAAAAAGAGTAGAAGAGGTGGTAATGCAGGGGGAAAAAGGATGATGATGGAAAGCACTACCATTTATTTAGTACAAATTCACTGTGTACAATCCTGTAGTTTCCAAAATTAGGTCTCACTTGTTAGAACTTCTCACAGAAGACAGATTTGCTAACCTTAAAAAAAAAAAAAAAAAAGGAAGAAAAGAAGAAGAGCCACTGAAAGCTGAATTAGCAGCTCAGTTGTATCCTCTTGTTGAATCCAGATTTCGGAATAAAAACATTGACATCAATAGCCATTCCCTGTGTCTAGAAACTGCTATTACAATTAGCAACCTAATTAAAAAAAAATTTAAAATGCTGTCAGACATATTTTAGGGAAGATTAGGTGGGGACTCTCTTTTTAAATATTTAAAAGAACTGATGCCAGAAAAGGCAGCATTAGTTTCATCAGATTGAAGGAAATTTACTGCAACTTGTCTTCTGATTCTTCAGAGAAAAACTTCATTCATTGAAGCTAGCATCTCTTTTCCTGCTTTTTATACAGTTAATATTAAAAGTATTTTTGAAGTAAAGTTCTTCATAAATTGTCTTTCGTACAAGTTGAGTTGTAATTAAATCACTGCTGTTTCATATGCAGAATACAGAATTTCACTTCTTAAAAGTAACTTTGCCACCATATAAACCAAAACAAGACGAAAACAAACAAAAAAACCCCAGAATAACAACAAAAAACCCACCAACCCTGACAACGACTGAAATTCCCATTCAGACACTAGTAACAGGGAAAATTTCTGGACAGGCAATAGTTTATACCTTCGGTCCCAAAACAAAGATGAAAATAATACATTTTTGTATGTGGAAAAAAGATAATTTTTCCATCATGGTTTTGGTGATAATGAGTAATATCAACCTCTATAAATTAAAAAGAAAGGAAGTCTTCAACAAACAAATTGGGTCTGAAAGAAATGAGACCTGGTAGCACAACTCAGCTGCTTACTTTAGCTTCAGGTAGACCACTTTCTGATTCAGCTTAGGGAAATAGTTTGTTCCTTGTTTTAACCAGTGGAAGGTGTATTTAATTACCTGCTATACTTGAGAAGCCAATGAATGCACATTAAAAATTACCCCCAAAAAAGGTACGTTACTGACTCACTGACACTTTCTAGAATGTTTTATTGTTGCATGTGAGGTCTGAGGCCAAACCCAGAAAGCTATCCACGCAATACATACTCAACACACTTAATAAAGCTGGGGGAAGAGGGTTAGTGGAACAACAGACAGAAAAAAATAAAACCAAAAAGAGAAGAAGAAAAGAAAGAGTTAAGTATAAGGTCATGATATATTATCTTTATACCCTCCTGATTGTTGAAGCTTTTAGCTTCAGGCACTACTCCAAGTTAAGCTGGAACATCCTCCAGGCTGACCTAATTTTCATCAGCTGCTAATGGATTTGGCAGATACTGCTCGGCATTCCCTACTTCATCAAAGCCCGTGGTGGTCTAATCACATCCTGTTGTGGTACATTCACAACAGGAATACTGCACAGGACTGGAGGTAACTGTGGAAATCCTGAGGTGGGGCATGTGCAGCATATATCCAAAACCCCCACAGCCAATTATCTGAACCAGCTCCCGTGTATGCAGAGCATGTATTTCTGTATGCCTGCATAGTGACACAAGGCACTGAGCCACAAACACGTGATTCCAGTATTCACTTCTGCAATCATGCAAGTTTTGAAGCAACCCCAAACTAGTATGATTAACACATTGGTACAATGTTGTGATAAAGGGAAGAAACTTTTGTTTCATATAGAGGTCAAAAAAAAAAAAAAAAGGAAAAAGACAGAGACAATCACCATGCTCAAATTCATTTGCTTAAAAGTTTTCTATCTTTCAAGTAAATAACATTAATGCTAATTTAAATGCTGTGGGATCATATCCAAGACCCATATTTAGGTTCTTAGATGTGCTGCTCCAGTTCACATTGGCAGCTATGCTAGCTATTAAAATTAAGTAAATTAAGGAAATAAAACAAATTAAGGCATTACTATAAGATATTTAAATTGAATTACCCAGATTTAGCAAGCACATTCAACAATTCTGGTAAAACTGATTTTCTCATGGCTGCATGAGCCAGCGAAAGGTAAAAAGATCAAAGATCTTTTCCCACTCACCTGGGCGAGAGAACCTAGCTCAAAGAGACTGTATAGCTCATGGTGATCCATGGTGGCATGTGCTTGCTGGGCATGCTACTGCTGCTCTCCATTCATGACTCTGTGCTATAAATTGGATGTGGGGTCATCCTGCAACAGCATATGATAAGTGGGGCAAGTGGTGCAGAGGCTGGAGCACTGGATGGAGCCACAGTCCAGCACACTAGAAAGGAGGGAGGAAAAAAAGCTCTGCCTTTGAACAGTCTCCCAAGAACAGCTTTGAGCAGTTTCCCAGCACTGTTGTCTAGTTATTAGTATTTCAGACCTATCCATCGGTCTGTTAACAGCCTAGGTCTCTGCATAGCAAGATATTGTAAGAAGATGAAAGCACAAACTATCACTCAGAAGGGCAAGATTCTCTTGAAACAGAAGAAATGTTTTAAAGGGTGTGAGCCTTTCCCTTATTCTGTAATTGGTTGTGTGGAGGAAGAAGTGTCTACAAACTGCAGAGAAAAATGTCTGGCTCTGTTATTGATTTTATTTATCAACTGTAGCAGTTCTGACACCCATAACATATTGTGACCTCATTAATGTTTATAAATATGTAAAGGGTGAGTGTCAGGAGGATGGAGCCGGGCTCTTCTTGGTGATGGCCAATGACAGGACAAGAGGCAACGGGTGCAAGCTGGAGCAGAGGAGGTTCCACATTAACATAAGGAAAAACTTTTTCACTGACGGTGACAGAATGTCCCTGTTTGAGCCTACCCAGCTGGCTCCAAAAGCCCCCCACAGCCACTCGCTCACCCCTACCCCATCTCCTGAGGGATGGAGAGAAGAAAATACAACCAAAAGGGCTTGAGG